TAGAGACAGGGTTTTACCATGTCGGTCAGGCTGGTCTTGAACTCCTAACCTCAGCTAATCCACCCGTCTTGGCCTCCCAAAGTGCTGGGATTACAGGCGTGAGCCACTGCACCCAGCTGGGAATTTGCATTCCTTTTCCAGGATTGGGCTTTTATGAAGAAAGCTGCTATGAACATTTGGGTTCAAGAATTTGTGTGGACATGTGCTTTCATTTCTCCTACGTATATACCTAGGAGTGCGATGGCTGGCCCACTATTAGAACTATTAGAAAGTGCCAAACGGTTTTTCAAAGCAGTTGTACCATTTTGTACTCCCACCAGCAGTGAGGAGAGCCAGGAATGGGTTTTTAATGTGCTTCATTCTCATTTAATCTCCAGGTCTTAGCTGAAACATCATTTCCACAGGAGGGTCTTCCCTTGCCCTCCAGACTAGGAGAAAACCGCTTATTTTCATAACCAGATCCCCTTGTTAGTGGCCCTAATCACAGCTGAACTAATTGAAGACCTGCATGCATTGCTCAAGTCTGCTCAGCTGCTGGCCTGCCCAAGGCTCCTTGACAGTGGCCTCCATCGCTGTATCCCCAGGCCTGGCCACCATGCCCAGCATAGAGACAGGCTCAGCCAGTGTTTGTTCCTAACAGGCTGGCCAGTGGGGTGGAGCCCAGCAGCCTGCGCCTTAGCTGCCCACATTTTGGTCTTGCACGTAGGGTTCACTGTGTTCTGTTCTCTGGTGATTGCCCTGTTTCATTTCTCACCACTCCCCCACTCAGTCTATGCTAGAACTGCGTAACTCTTTTCAAAGGCATGTCTTGTGGGATCTCAGACAACACAATTCTGAGCTTAGCGAACCTTCATAGAAAATACAAATATTGGCTGGGTGTGGTGGCTCAGGCCTGTGCAATCCAGCACTTTGAGAGACCGAGGCAGGAGGATCACCTGAGGTCAGGAGTTCAGGACCAGCCTGGCCAACATGGTGAAACCCCCATCTCTACTAAAAATACGAAAATTAGCCAGGTGTGGTGATGTGCACCTGCAGTACCAGCTCCTCTGGAGGCTGAGGCAGGAGAATCACTTGAACCCAGGAGGCGGAGGTTGCAGTGAACCCAGGTGGTGACACTGCACTCTAGCCTGGGAGACAGAGCGAGACTCTGTCTTAAAAAAAAAAGAAAGAAAGACAAAAAGAAAATACAAATGCAACCCTAAAAGATAAAATCCTGGTTTCTGCCAAAAACCTTGATGACACTCTGTTTTCTTTCACTGAATTCAACATGTTTTCACACACACGTTTTGTAGAAGCTCAGAAAAGACATTTCTGGGCCCAGTGCGCACTCATAGAAAGATACAAATATCCAGCCCTGATATTTGTGAACCACTGTGCACAACAGATATGTGTATTCTTATGGATGAAAAAGCTAAAAGTAAGGTTTGTGCCAAAAAACTTGATGACGTACTATTTTCTTTCACTGAATTCAACATGTTTGCGCGCAGAACAGATTTCAAACACATATTTTGTGAATGCTTAACAAAGATATTTTTGAGCCTAATAGACTCTCATAAAATGATACAAATATCAAGCTCTAAAAGCTAATAGAAAGCCTTGGGCTTACAGAGTTAGAAGAGGTGACAAGTTCTGCCCATGCCACACAGCCTGGTACAGGTTTATCGGGGCACCTTTCTCTGCCCCATTCTCTCACTTTTTCCTGGACTCTGCCCAAGTCTCATCTCTAATGTGCCATGACCAGCTACGTGTCTGCCTTTTAGCTCCCATAGCAGCTCCCCAAGTTCCCTTTGAGCCTCTGATGTTTCCCCATCACTGTAGATTGTGGACATTCCAGAGCAGGACATCCTAGGATTTTTGCATATCTCATTATACATAATTCCCCTTGCAAATCTCATTATACATGATTCCTCTATAAAATTCAGTAAAGCTTGATTAGAGAAAATAAATGGCCACTCCTTAGGTCTTGAACATATACTTCAGGGACAGCCATTTATAAAGCTCCCAAGGCACATCAGAGCCCACCACTGATGCCACCCTTGTGCCAGGCCTGTCTCCCACGGCAGATCAGACATACTGTGACGATGCCTCAAACAAGTATTGGACATCTCCAAGAGCAACAATTTCAACTCCTCGTAGACAACTGTATTCATTAAAAGAAAAAAAATTTAATGTACTTTAGGTTCTGGGGTACATGTGCAGATCAAGCAGGATTATGGTATCGGTACATACATGGCAATGTGGTTTGCTGCCTCCATCCCTCCGTCACCTATATCTGGCATTTCTCCCCATGTTATCCCTCCCCAACCTCCCTACCCCCCGCTGTCCCTCCCCTAGTCCCCTGCAACAGACTCCAGTGTGCAATGCTCCCCTCCCTCTGTTGTGACTGTTCAACACCCGCCTATGAGTGAGAACATGTGGCGTTTGATTTTCTCTTCTTGTGTCAGTTTGCTGAGAATGATGGTTTCTTCGTAGGTCGTTAAGAACTTGCTTTATATACCTGGGTGTTCCTGTATTGGGTGCGTATATATTTCGGATTGTTAGCACTTCTTGTTGCATTGATCCTTTTACCATTAAGTAATGCCCTTATTTGTCTCTTTTGATCTTTGTTGGTTTAAAGTCCATTTTATCAGAGACTAGAATTGCAGCTCCTGCTTTTTTTGCTCTCCATTTGCTTGGTAAATCTTCCTCCATCCCTTTATTTTGAGCCTATGTGTGTCCTCGCACGTGAGAAGGGTTTCCTGAATACAGCACACTGATGGATTTTGACTTTTTATCCAATTTGCCAGTGTGTGTCTTTTGATTGGGGCATTTAGCCCATTTACATTTAAGGTTAATATTGTTATGTGTGAATTTGGTCCTGCCATTTTGATGCTAGCTTGTTGTTTTGCCCATTAGTTGATGCAGTTTCTTCATTGTGTGGGTGGTCTTAAAACTATGGAACGCCTCGTGAATTTGCATGTCATCCTTGCACAGGGGCCATGCTAATCTTCTCTGTATTGTTCCAATTTTAGTACACGTGTTGCCGAAGCGAGCACTACGAGTGTATTCTTTTAAAAATTCATTATTTACTTATTTTTTAGAGACAGGGTCTTGCCCTGTGACCCAGGCTAGAGTGCAGTGGTGTGATCATGGCTCACTGCATCCTTGACCTCCTGGGTTTAAGTGATCCTTCTGCCTCAGCTTCCTGAGTAGCTGAGACTGTAGGCATGCGCCATCACACTCAATGAATTTTTAAAATTTTTGCAGAGACAGGATCTTGTGATGTTGCCCAGGCTGGTCATGAACTCCTGGACTCAAACGATCCTCCCACTTTGGCCTCTCAAAATGTTGGGATGACAGGTGTGAACCTCTGTGTACAACAGAGAAGAGTATTCTGATTGATGAAAATGGCAGTCAAATTGGAGCTGAGACCAAGAATTGTCACCTGAATGAAAACACTAGGAATGGATTATTGCATCAAGCTCTCAGTGTCTTCTTACTCAACACCAAAATGAGTTCCTGTGACAGCAGAGATCAGATGTTACAGTTACCTACCCAGGCAGTTTCACCAATACTTATTTGTAGTCATCCATTAAGTAATCCAGGCAAGCTTGAGAAAAATGATGTCAATGGCATAAGCTGAGCAGCACAGAGGGACCTAAAAGCTGAAGTAGGAATTCCCATGGAAGAGGCTCCTCCAGAAGAAACCTATTATCTAACACGAACTCGCAACAAAGTTCAATCTGATGGTATCTGGGGTGAACATAAAACTGATGATATTTTGTTTGTGAGGAAGAACATAACTTTGAATTCAGATCCCAGTGAGATAAAAAGTTATTTTCTGTGTGTTAAAGGAAGAGTTAGAACTTCTGAAAAAAGTAATCAGTGGTGAAATTAAAGTAACTCCATGGTTTCAAGCTATTATAGAGACTTTTCTCTTTAAATGGTGGGATAACGGCTGGGCGCGGTGGCTCACGCCTATAATCCCAGCATTTTGGATGGCTGAGGCGGGCAGATCATGAGGTCAGGAGATTGAGACCATCCTGGCTAACATGGTGAAACCCCTTCTCTACTAAAAATACAAAAAACCAGCTGGACATGGTGGCATGCGCCTGTAATCCCAGCTACTCGGGAAGCTGAGGCAAGAGAATCGCTTGAACCTGGGAGGCAGAGGGTGCAGTGGACATGAATGAGAGTCTGACAGCTGGACTTTTAGAAACAGCCATCTGCACAAGTCAGCATCTTCCCAGCTGACAGGGAGCAGATTTTCAGACTACATCACATTTGAAATTCCAGAAGGAACTTCTTGGAGTCTGCTCATGTGCAAGTGAGTCTAGAAAATCCATTAACTTTGGGTGGAGGCTTCCACCATTTGGCTATGCCAAGTGGGCCCAACGCTGAGAAAAACCCACCAGTCCTTTGCTTCCTGCTCCCTTTATTTGGTTTCCCCAGGAAAGCAGAGGCAGTGACATGATTTGGCTTGGACACCAGCAGGAATAAACAGTATTTAAGAGATGTCATAAGCACCTCAATTTTGTTCTTGATTGCTAAGTGGCCCCAAACCAAAACAGCCAATTAAAAAAATTAGAATCTTAGCCGGTGTGGTGGCTCAAGCCTGTAATCCCAGTACTTTGGGAGGCTGAGGCAAGTGGATCATCATGAGGTCAGGAGTTCAAGACCAGCCTGACCAACATGGTGCAACTCCGTCTTTACTAAAAATACAGAAAAAAATTAGCTGAGCGTGGTGGTGGGTGCCTGTAGTCCCAGCTACTCAGGAGGCTGAGGCAGAAGAATTGCTTGAACCTGTGAGGCGGAGGTTGTAGGGAGCTGAGATTGAGCCATTGCAATCCAGCCTGGGTGAGAGTGAGACTCCGTCTCAAAAAAAAATTAGAATCATAATTACAGATTTGGAAATTCCAGCACAACACAACTGACATGGCTTGCATCTTATCCTCTGCTTCGTTCTTGAAAATCCCTCTCCTTGGTGCTGAATGTTATTTCTTGAGCATGGAGCCCCTGGTTGCAAAACACCTTCCTCTGCTGGATGATGATGTCACCTCTGATAAGCCTGAGCATGTAATTCTCCCCTGGACACCAGGTGCACGGTTGGTCTCCTCCCCGCAACCAGTACCTCCCCTCTTCCTTCCCACCACCCACCTCCCTCCATCCAGGGAGGCCAGCTGCGTGAGTTCCTCTAGCCTTGACCTGTCTGCTTCCAGCTTCCTCTAGTTCCTCTCTGGCCTTCTGCCAATTTCCTTCCATAGATTATGGCCAAGCCTGTTGGAGTCAAAACAATTTGCATTGTTTAAGAAAGCAATCCCTTCTTGCAATGCTTTCTCACAAAAGAGTTTGCATTAAAACAAGATCTGGGAATCCCCAGGATGGGTGAGAGTGTGGGAGGGGCTGGTGGAGGAATGAAGTTCAGTTCAGGGTGCAGGGTATCTTGGAGGAGGCAGTGACACTTATTAGAAATGCAGAATTTGGTCTGCCCCAAACCTGCGGAAGCAGAAGCTGCATTTTACCAAGCTTCCAGGGAATGTGTGTGCCCTGTTACAGTTCAGCCCAGGGTACAGGGATGACACTTGAGTATTGGAGGATGAGCTTTTTTCGGGGATCAGCTTTGTGTTGACCAGGAAGATCCCTTTAGAAGGGGAGTGGTCAGTGCATGGGGCTTGTTTCAGTCTGAGGCCTCTCACGCAATGCCAGAGGAATAGACTCTCCCAGCCTCTATAGGGGGTCTGGGGCTCACTGTGTGAGGGAGGCCTCAGGGCTTTAGTGCTCTGGGGGTGGAATCTTGGTCACTTCCTGGTGCTTGCTCTTGCTCCAAAGTGAGGCTCCCTAAAGCCCTGAGCCCAGGCGAATTTGCGAATGGAAACAGCTGAGTCTGTTTTTCTGGGGCAGTCTTTAGATGATCTGGAATGTGTTTTGAGGTTTCTCAAAGGCATAGTATTTTATTCTAATTTTGCAGGGAATATCTGAGTTATTCCCATTTTGTAGGGATGCATTCCCAGAGGCATGAGGGTTGGGCTCCTTTTTCTTCCACCAAGGAAGCCGGGTGCCCCACAGAAATGGGGTCTTCTGCCAGCACCGAGGATAAGGGAAGAGGAAGCCCTCGCTCATCTCTGACTTGTGGCCTCTGGGTAGACAGCAAACTCTCAGCCTCTGGCCTGAGCCAGGCTCACCGAGAGGTCTGTTCCTCAATAGAGTGGTGTCTGAGCCAGAAAAACCAAAACTAGTCATGCTGCCATGTCTGTGTAAGTCTTCTTGATCACTCGCCTGCAGGTGTGGTCTGTGACAGTGCCGGTTACACGAGGGCACAAGGGCCCTGCTGTCGCATTTCAGTACAGACCCTGGTAGACTCCAGGATGTGCCACGCAGCAACACACAGGCAGCTTAGGGTGCACGTGTCCATCCATCGACAGCAATGAGGAAAAAGCGTTGGCTACAGGAACAAGATGTGGCCACACCATAGGTACGATGTAGGGCCTGGGTTCCTTGACCCAATCGGCCACCACCCCAATCCAGTCACTTGTTATCAGAAAGCTTGAGGTAGAGAGTGTGGGCAGCTCAAGACAAACTGAAGGCCAGTGCCTGGGACACCCTATTAGGACCACAGGGTGGAGTTTTTAGACGTTGTCAGGCACATCCTAAGCAAGGCAGGGTGTGAGGGGCTCCAGGGAAATGCTGAGTGTCTGTCCCAGCCTGGAGGGGAGGAACAGCGTGGGCTACTTAACAGTGTGTTCAAATCTCAGCTCCTTTTGAGCTTTTGGATCTAGAGGGTATTCTGGCTGGAAGGCAAATACTTGCATGTATCATTTTGGTAAAAGTCAGTACAAAGTCCAGGGCATAACCTCACCTCAAGCCTTCCCAGTTGCTGGGGTGTGTGGAGCTGTGCAGACACACCACCCTCTGAGTTAGAAGCCTACACATTCACTGCCTGTTTTCCAGGTTTCTCGTGCAGATGTTTTGGGCCAAGGACCAGGTTTAGAATGAAAATTGCTGTCAGTTTTAGGATTTTCCAACGGTCCTCATGGTCAAAAGTTTTAGAAAGCTTTAGGTGTGCCATTTGCAAAAGAGAGAAGCTGCTGGCAACATTTATAGAAAGGTGGTTTCTCATATTTAAGTGATAGAAACTCTTCCAAATCCACGCCATAAACAGCTGGTGGAACGGGATCTGCTCCAGCTACGTGCAAACATAACCTGGTCATGGCTGGTAAAATTTAAATTATACACAGGCTTTGTTCCAGAAATTTTGCACATGTGAATCTATTCCACAGAAACAAAAATACCAGACTGTAATGTAGTATGTACAAGGATGTTTATTGTTTGCAGTGACAAAAAACTGGAAATAATCTGAAGACCCATTAACAAGGCAATGATTCAATCAACCGTGGTACATCTGTATTAAGTGAGATTACATAGCAATCCAAAAGAATGAGTCAGCTATCTAGGCAGCTGCAGTTCCAGAGAGTTTTATGATGCAGCGTTAAGTTAGGGAAGCCAAATTGCAGATGAATAAATATTTTACGTTCACAGTATTTTTAAAAGGTACAATCAAATAAAAATCCCTCACTTACGTATCTGAGCACAGTTAAGATGGAGGCTGCATCTCAGGCTGGAAGAGGGGCGCAGGACCGGGGAAGATGGGTGGGGAGAAAGAAAATAAAAGTAGGCAGGGCACAGTGGCTTCTGCCTGTAATCCCAGCACTTTGGGAGGCCGAGGCGGGTGGATCACCTGATGTCAGGAGTTCGAGACCAGCCTGGCCAACATAGCGAAACCCTTCTCTACTAAAAATACAAAAAAATTTACCAGGCTTGGTGGCAGGCACCTGTAATCCCAGCTACTTGGGAGGCTGAGGCATGAGAATTGCTTGAACCCATGAGGT